GGTTGGAACTAGATGATCTTTAAGGTCCCTTCCCACCCAAACCATTCCATGATTCTATGACATTTAACTGCCTAATTCCAAAGATTTCATTCATAAGGTTTTCCAGAATCTAGGCCTTAGTTTAAGTGACGCAATTCAGTAAGTAACAGTTTCTGCAGCATCCCAGCGGCCTCATGTGAAAGGCAGGGAATCACAAGGTCACTGCTCTTCCAGATTTTTCAGACCCCAAAAGCTCCAACCACAACATCAACGTTAACCGGGAAGTTACGCCTCACACGAGGTCACTTTCCGAGATTCAGCGCCCCAGACGCCCCGTTGGCGGAAGGCACGCAACCCTTGCGACGTTACCTGTGAGGTGAAAGATCTGCAGCATGGCCTTAACGCTTTGTATCTTCCTCTCTAAACCCTCCTGAGCGCTGGGCTGCGCCTTATCCGACACGACTCCGTCTTTCCCAAGTTGCTACGAAAGCCGGAAGAGAAGAGAGGTCAGAAACGGCGGATGCAAACGGGTCACCTGCAGGGAAGACAGTCAGGCTACAGGGAAATAATAACCCGGCTCTGAGAAAAGCGAGATGGCATCTGAAGCAGAAGAGGGGAGAAATGAAGCAGAAGAGGGGAGAAAAAGCTCAAGAGCTCAGAAGTGGCCAAACGACCTCCACGCAGGAGCAGCCAGCAGTTCTGGACTAGACGGTACTGAAAACAGGGGACACCAGGACCAGATGTCACTTCAGAAGGGAAAACAGGGAAATAAGAGTTGACTCTATATGAATAAACGCAATAAACGCACCCTCTGAGAGCAGGAGCACAGTCAGCTCACTGCCAGATCTCTGCAGCAAGCCCTTTCTCACCCCCTTTTCCTGCAGATCCACTTTAGCCCGCAGCTCATCCCTCTGGAGTCTCAGCTCCTGCACTCTTGCTTTCAGCCTGGCCAGCTTCTCCTCCTGCTGCTGTGCTTCCTCTTGCTTCAAGGCTGCCTCATAAGCCCGCGCCTCCAGCATTTCCAGGTGAGCAAACACCCCTGCAAGGAAAACCCAGGCCGCAGTGATGAGTGGAACGCGCTGTGGTACGCGAAGTGGGTCCGGAGCAGACGCAGAGAGGAAGCGCTTGTGACAGCTTTTCAAAGGGGCAGAGAACAGGCTGACACCCGGGGAAGAGGCTGTCGGGAGTTTTAAACAGCATGGCTGAGCGCCAGCAGAGCCCAAACACCGGCGTGCCCCACACCAGCTGGCTAAGCTGCGGGAAAGCGGAGCAGCCCTGAGGAGAAGGGTTT